TCTCCTATATAATTGATGTTATGGTTCAATAAAGAAGCCCTGTTTGTGCTGCTATCCACTTTTTATGCACTCCTATATAAATTGTTATTTTTTTAATATGTGTGAACAGATACACATTAGAGCTTCATTCAAACAGTGCATACGTAAAAAGGTGATATACTTTAAGAACACAAGGAAAATGTGCCTTTTCAATCATTTATTCTACATAAATATCAATATATGTATTGATTTACCCTGAAAAAAGTAAGTACACTCTTGGCCACAGACACTGGTATTGCCACCTTTAGCAGAAATAATTTCTTGTAGGCAGATTATATAACTGCCCTCCGTTTCTGGCATTCACCAGTCCTCCTTGCAAAATTCCTCCAGTTTGCAAAAAATATGTGAGTTTCCCTGCATGAATTGCCTGTTTCAAATTCCGCGGATCATTTCAATGGGATTCAATCAGGGCTTTGACTAAGCTAGTATATAACACTACATGTTTTATTTTTTTTCAAGCCCTTCCTTGGTGGAATTGCCATTGTGCTTCGGATCATTATCACATTGAAAGATCCATTTCTGGTTCAACAGACAAACGGTTTCACATTCTCATCAAGCACACTTTGGTTAACTCGATAAATACAAGCTGCCAGGCTCTGAACCAGCAAAGCAACCCCAAAGCCTAACATTTTCACCAAAATGGTACACAGTTGGTTGGTTCTTATCCTTCTATTTGCAGCAAACATGTCTACTGTTACTGTGGCCAAAACAATCCTATCTTTGATTAATTTGCCCAGAGCACATTGTTCCAGGCCTGGTCTTTGCCTATCTGTTGCCTATATGTTCGTTGGCAAACGTTAATCTTCTTTTTGGACAGCAAATGCCTTTTCCTGGCACACCTCTTATGTAGGTTAAAGTGGTGCAATCTCCTATTGATGCACCAACTCCAAGAGTTACCTGCAGATCCCTCAGTTAAATTCTGAGGTTCTTGGAGACTCTTTTTAGCAACAAACAGTTCTTGGACTGATTTTGCTGGGGCTTCCAGTCCTGGGCAAATAAGCAGTTGCTTGAAATCTACTGCACTTGTAGATTGTTTTTACTACAAGTGAAATTAATAATTCCAAATAATATGGAAGACTCTTAGGCACCCACAACCTTCTTTCTTGGGGAGCTCTTTTCATCCTGGCATGAGGATACCACTCAATTTCAAAGAGAAGAACAGACCCTAGATATCTGAGGTTTAAAATAGACAGGCTTTACCTTCAATCTGGAACACTAGTTCCATGTGACAAATTGTTATTTTTGTGGATTTAAATCATGAAGATGAATACACCATGCCAATTGAATCTGTCGTTTGTTCAAGTATATCTCCCTTTCTGTAGGCACCATTTAAATTAAGAACTAAAGGTTGCCTGTTCTGATACAAGTTGTTAGCTTGAAAAGTTAACCATTTCCAAGGGGTGTACTGACTTTTTCACGTGACTGTACATCTGATTATAATTTATTCACCAAGAGCAAGTATTTCTTCTATGCAGCACAATCCATTAAACTGCAATACCATATTCAAACCATTCCCAGCACATAGTTTACAGGTGAATAAATATAGTTGCAATTCTTAAATCCAATTTCCCTAAAGTGAGCTGTCATGGGTGGTGCCAAGCTGTTATCTGCATGTGCTATGGGAATCTAGTTTACATGAAACACACAATTAGCCCTGGAGCAGTGATGCTCTCTAAATTATAGGGCAGAAAGCTGACATATAAATGGGATTCTACATTAAACCTTGAACATTGATAGAGCATATTTATGAATATTTTTTGGGACTCCAGGACACTAAATCTCATCTAGTATTGGATTTTTAAGCCCTGTTTATTTTCCACAAGGTAAGCCAGTTACACACATACAGTACTGATTATGTGTACCTATGCAAGATAACTTACGTGTCAGTATCAGGTCTATTCACAAAAGGGTGAAGAGTTTGGAGAAGGCAGGAGAAGTGAACAATCTGGGACAACATAGCCGATTTGGAAATATTCTGCCTTTCAGCTCACTTTCCAGTTCAGCTATGTTGTCCTAGATTGTTCCCTTCTCCTGCCTTCTCCAAACTCTTCACCCTTTTGTGAATGTCAGTTTTCTTGTATATTGGTCCAGGAAAGGATGGACCAGTACAATAATCTTGACAGCCTGAAAATGTACTTATAATTCATATACCATATGTGAATTAAAAGTGAAGTTTTACGCTATCCAGAAGCATGTGCTGCTGATCCATTTTTTCTGGACTTGTGTTTTTGGTATGGAAGGCATATGGTTTGTGCACTCCATTGGAAAGCTAATGATCCCAGGGAGAGGGGAGAGCTAACCTCTTAACATTTTTTTGTTTTTACCTTGTATATATCACCCTGTAATATGCACTGCTCTGGAACAGAAATCTTTTAGTAATGATAATGTCAATCTAGCCATCATGCATGACAAATACATATACAAAGGCAGGTGACATGCCAGCTGTCTGAAACACTCCTTTAAGGCAAGACTATACAGAGTGAGGAGAGACTACTGCAATTCTTTTCACACTTCAAAAAACTGAATTGAAAATAGGTCATAACTAAAACAATGACATATAAAGTAAAGATATATACAGCTATAGGATCTAGTTCTGGAAGTGTTTGTGACTTGGGATATCTGGAAAGACATGAAGAAATGGCATAAGACATTACCAGTCTTTATAATCAATGTCCACTGCTTCTTCTTTATTGTACTTCCCTAGCATTACTTTCGAAATAAAATTGTTTATATTAACACCATAGAAAAATTGAGTGTATACCGTACAAATCTGAATGTAAAGTAATTAAATTTGTCACTAAATTTTGGGGTTTAATAAGGAGTTGCGCTAATATTGCGCAACATAAAAATTTTCAACTACCACCATTTTATTCTATAGGGTCTTGGCATTCAGAAAATATATAATGTTGGGGGGTTTTACGTCATTTTCAGGCCTAAAATGTGGAATATAACATGGGTGCAAAAATGGAAAAAAGGGCCTCAGTCATGAAGGGGTTAAAGAAAAATGTCTAGTACATAACATATCTCCTAACAATATAAAATAACCAAGGTAAACAACTTTTAAGTAAATATAATACATTTATATTGCTTTAGAACTTACAGATACAATTGCTAGCAAACACTAACATTAATAAACATATCATGGTGTAATTTTTGAAAAATGTTTTTAATTGCAAAGTATGAACCAAGATACCTTTTATGGTGGACATTAGCAAAATTGTGCCAAATCCAAAATAGGGAAAGTTGGTAATGGGGGTGATTGGGGTGTTGGCAAGGGTGGTGGTGAGAGGAGAGGGATCTGGGATAGTGTTAGCTGCAGTGAATGGAGCAAATGATTTAGGTGTTGGCAGGTGCAATGGTGGGAGTGAGAGGGGAATGGGGGTCAGGAGCAGTAGTAACAGTGGAGGGTGCATGCGTGGGGGGGGTCAGCCTGCAGGTTTGCTGGTGAAAGTAGGGATAAAGGGATGATGGCGGTCAGGCAGGGAGTGAAGAGGATGGTGTGGTGTTGACAGGGGCATGCAAGCACATTGCTTAAAGGGAGGTGGGGCAGGCACAGTGGTTTGACGGGGCTGCAGATATGGAGTTTAAGCTTAGGTAGTTGGGATGGTGTGTGTACAGGCACAATGGGAACATTTATAGGGATGTTTAGAGTGTGAGAGTGTGTGTAGAGGGAAGGATGGGTGTCAGGTGCTGTGGTGGGAGGGGTAGGGTGCTGGCACAGTTGTGAGAGAGGGTGCAGGTGCAGTGGTGTACTGGAAGGGGATTGTGGTGGCATAGCGGTGACAGTGGAGGGGGACAGTGTGTAGTAACAGCAATAGTAGTGACAGCATTGGCAGGGGCTATAATGCTTGCCTCCGTCAACTCCCACGCATGTGCATTGTGCTCTGCAATCTCAGAAATATGTTAGCATGTAGCAACTTTTCAAACCGACCTGTCAGGTCGCTAGCGCAGTTACTCTCAATACCATACTTGATGTAAAAAATATGGCAGCAATGCCCACTCATGCGTGGTAGTAGCAGAGGCCAGCCACTATCTCGCATGTGGGGGATCTCACTGCCATATTCTCAGTAGAGACTATGTGGCCCCAAACTCACTTTTACATAGAAGAGGAGAGGATTAGACCGTACTCACAAGTATATTTTCCAACACAGTGGAAAATCTGAGCTTTGCAAGAACCTCCTGGGTAATGGCCCAAAAAATGATTCGGCTTGGCTGGCATGATAAAGACATTGAGGGGAATTTATCAACACTGGAGCAGATAAAATCTGGAGCAGCTGTGCATGGCAACCAATCCACATCTACCTTTCATTTTCAAAGCTTAACTGAACAAACTGAGAAGCTGATTGGTTGCCATAGGCAACTGCCCCTGTTTTTGTCTGCTCCAGTTTTGATAAACTCCCCCCACTAAATCTAATGGAAATTGTAAAAAACTAACATTTAAAGGCTAGCAAAAGGGTGGAAAACCTCTTGCACCCTATTACAGTGATTCCATCTCTCAAACACAAATTGTTATGGCCATTTAGCTTTGCCCCTAGAACCTCTTGTAGCTAACTTCATTTCAGGGTCAACTCACAACTCATAAAGTTGAATGCTATAGTCATGAAACCCTTCATTGTACGTGAAGCTTCGATGTCTTGTTTAGTCTTCTTGTAGTAACTGTGCTAACACTACTAAAAGTTATGGCAAAGTCTTCAGCAAGACACCAACCCATTTTCTCAATTTTGTTTAATTCCAAAAAGTGTTGAACTGTATGTTTACAAATTTTACAAGCTGCGTAAATGTAAGTTTTCGTGTAAAGCATATGATTTATGTGTTATTTTTTGCTTTGACAGGTGAACATTTTGCTTCTAAAGCTTATATTAGTGAATGGATCAAAGATACAAGGGAGATGCCACTTCTTGCAAAGTCCACTTTGGCATATTTCCAATTATTAATCTTAAGCAATCTTACATGAATAATCAATGCCTCCTACATTTATTTTGGTTTCAATGGTAATACTGGGTGTAAGTACCATCATGGGAGTGTTCACTAACTCAGTCATTGTGCTTGTCAATTTTGTAGACAAGGTCAAAGGTAAAAAGCTCAACCCATCTGACCTAATTTTGATGACCCTAGGTTCACTTAACATTTTCTTCCAGTTCATAATGCTGATCAATGACTACTTGAGCTTTCTAGACCATGACCTCTATAGCTCTTATCAGATCTACACTTTATTTACTGTCCTACTAATCCTTCCTATTTTTTCAAGCTTCTGGTTTACAGTTTGCCTCTCCGTCTACTACTACTTGCAGATTGTTATATTTACTCATCCTTTTCTAATGCGAATGAAGTTGGGGGTCTCACGGTTTATACCAAAGCTACTGATGGCCTCGGTTTTCACATCTGTAGCTAACGGCCTCCCTGCTGCATTGAACAGGCACAAGGATCACCTCTTTTTAAACATGTCAAGTAATCAGAGTTTGGAAGTCATTGTTCCTAAAGTGAATGTTGTATATATGCTACCCAGTACTATCATTAGTTGCTCCCTTCCATTAGCTGTCATTGGCGTTGCCAATGGTATGATCATCAAGTTATTAATGAAGCACAGTCACAAGGAGGATGTTAATGCTCAAGGGAACCTCAGTCCAAGAGCTGAAGCTCGCAGACGAGCAGCCAGGACAATTGGATGCCTCCTTCTTCTTTACATTTCATTCTACATATCTGAGGTTCTTCTCTTTATAGACACCTTCCCCAGGAACAGTTTTGGATTCTGTGCCTGCTTGATTGTAATTTACAGCTATCCTCCTGCTCAGTCAATAGTTCTTATACTAGGATGTCCCAAACTGAAACAAGTGTTTTTTGCTTTGCTGCAATGTCTATTCAGTAAAGAACAGCCGAAACCACCAGAAATCTTCTGCATAAAACTCCAAATCAGACACTTCAACTCACAGCACAGTAATCATTAACAGTGATGTTAATAAGACATTGTATGTTACATAGACTATTGTGTGATCAGTCTCTTTTTACTTTCATTGTACTTGTCGGGCGTTCGGTCCATGACCAAGCGCCTGACTTTTCAGAGGGGGGTGACACCAAAATGACTGTGAGTCATTTTGGTGTCACCCCTCCAATGGCGTCACCCGGGTGCCGCCACTGACTAAACGTATAACAAAATCTATCCTAGGGCCACCCACAACTGACATTTGAATTTTTGGTAAATGGTGGAGAGTTAAACCACCCAATGCTGGGCATACATGAATAGATGTCTTTAATTCAGCCTGCGGTATAACAAAGAGAAATCTAACAGATTCCTCCATCAACACTTAACAGCACAGATGGACAAATCTTCCCTTCTGGGCTATTTTATTCTGACACATGGCGTTTGCCACTGTCAGAACACTCAAACATTGACCTCAACTGATTGGTCAGTGTTTAGCTGTCAATTTTTCAACCAACAAAAGTCAATTCAAAAAATTGAGCAAGGCCACACACAGCTCACATTTAGGCTAATTCAGCAGAAGGTGGAAAAATGTCAAGTAGTATATGGGCAGCTTAACAAACTGAGACACAGGCGGCATGATATCTGTGTTTTAGTTCCACGGTCTCCACATCTGCTGCAGCCATTATAATGGTAATTCACTCTCTGTGCTGGAAGGTTTGGTTTGTTTATACTATGGAGAACACAACAGGAGGAGTAAGAACACCCCAAGATGGGGGCATCACACTAAACTCCAAGGTGGGTAGTAGTATATGGACAGGAAATTTGGTGGGAGATTTCGCCACCAGAGACCAAGAGAAATATAAGGCAAGCAGGTGACTTATTCCACTATTCCACTAGACTTCACTCTTACCTGAAATAACTGCCCCCCCCCCCCCCCCCCGCGCAGTATGTTTACAAAAAAAAAAAAAAA